AGATTGTTCAGCGGCTACCACCAAACCAAATACCCAAAACAACATCCACTACTGCAGCATCACTAACAGCACCAAAAAGAAAACAACAACTGATGGTGAAGATTATACAGCAGTTACCACCAAACCAAATAACGACAACACTACTACAGCAGCATCACTAACAGCACCGAAAACAACAACATATGATGAAGATTATACAGCAGGTACCACTAAACCAACTAACCACGACAACATCCACCACAACATCATCATTAACAACACCAGAAAACAACAACGGACGATAAAGATAACCACGAAACCAAAATACCACGACAACACCCACTACAGCAGCATCAGTAACAGCACCGAAAACAACAACATATGATGAAAATTATACAGCGGCTACCACCAAACCAAATAACCACAACAACACTACAACAGCATCACAAACAGCACCGAAAACAACAACATATGATGAAGACAGTAAAACGTTCCAGACATCACGAGCCACTCGAGATGACACAGAAAGTAATCGATAAATGTAAACAATTATTTGAGCATCCGTTAGCTTTATCTCTGGCAATGGTTGCTACACGAGGTCACGTGGTCGTTTTCATGGCTGTATGTATAGCTGTATATGTGGTTGTATGTATAGCTGTATCTGTGGTTGTATGTATAGCTGTATCTGTGGTGTATAGCTGTATATGTGGTTGTATGTATAGCTGTATCTGTGGTTGTATGTATAGCTGATTCTGTGGTTGTATGTATAGCTGTATCTGTGGTTGTATATATAGCTGTATCTGCGGTTGTATGTATAGCTGTATCTGTGGTTGTATGTATAGCTATATCTGTGGTTGTATGTATAGCTGTATCTGTGGTTGTATGTATAGGTGTATCTGTGATTGTAATTGTATGTATAGCTGTATCTGTGGTTGTATGTATAGCTGTATCTGTGGTTGTATGTATAGCTGTATCTGTGGTTGTATGTATAGCTGTATCTGTGGTTGTATGTATAGATGTATCTGTGGTTGTATGTATAGCTGTATCTGTGGTTGTATCTTCTTCTTCTTCTTCTTCGTTCTTAATTATTGGTGTTGAAGGGGATCGAGATTTATCTGCCAGTGGATTTGAACTCGAGACTTTGTTCGAATTTATCAACCATGAGCTTTTTGCCGACTCGACCACGCCTCCAACACAATTAAGCGTTACGTGTCAACTGGTTATGCGCCATTGAGGCCATTGACTCCGATTTCAGCCTGCTTTTCTTTTTGGATTTGCTTCCATAGCCTTTGTTCAACCAAGAACAAACTACTATTTTTGGAGTTGTCTCTCCTAGAAGAGTGGCTGTCCCCAGCTAACGAGCCTCATCTGCCCGAGGGTTCGAACTCGAGACTTTTCGGTTTAGCAACCATGAGCTATACCGACTCGACCACGCCGAACCCTTGTGGTTGTATGTATAGCTGTATCTGTGGTTGTATCTGTGGTTGTATGTATAGCTATATCTGTGGTTGTATGTATAGCTGTATCTGTGGTTGTATGTATAGCTGTATATGTGGTTGTATGTATAGCTGGATCTATGGTTTTATGTATATCTGTATCTGTGGTTGTATGTATAGCTGTATCTGTGGTTGTATGTATAGCTGTATCTGTGGTTGTATGTATAGCTGTATCTGTGGTTGTGTGTATATCTGTATCTGTGGTTGTATGTATAGCTGTATTTGTGGTTGTATGTATAGCTGTATCTGTGGTTGTATGTATAGCTGTATCTGTGGTTGTGTGTATATCTGTATCTGTGGTTGTATGTATAGCTGTATCTGTGGTTGTGTGTATATCTGTATCTGTGGTTGTATGTATAGCTGTATTTGTGGTTGTATGTATAGCTGTATCTGTGGTTGTATGTATAGCTGTATCTGTGGTTGTGTGTATATCTGTATCTGTGGTTGTATGTATAGCTGTATTTGTGGTTGTATGTATGGCTGTATCTGTGGTTGTATGTATAGCTGTATCTGTGGTTGTATGTATAGCTGTATCTGTGGTTGTGTGTACATCTGGATCTGTGATTGTACGCATAGCTGTATTGTGGTTGTATGTATAGCTGTATCTGTGGTTGTATGTATAGCTGTATCTGTGGTTGTGTGTATAGCTGTATCTGTGGTTGTATGTATAGCTGTATCTGTGGTTGTATGTATAGCTGTATCTGTGGTTTTATGTATAGCTGTATCTGTGGTTGTGTGTATATCTGGATCTGTGGTTGTACGCATAGCTGTATCTGTGGTTGTATGTATAGCTGTATCTGTGGTTGTATGTATAGCTGGATCTATGGCTATATTTACAGTTTTTTATGGTTATATGTATGGATGTATGTGTAGTTTTATGTATAGCTGTATGTATGGCTAAATGTGCGTTTTAATGTTCGGTTGTATTTGTTGTATATATAGTTGTATGTGTGTAGCAATATGGTTGTATCTAAGGCTGTATTTACGGCTGTCTGTATTTTACAGCTTATCGTATGCCGGTATGTATGTCTGTATGGCTGTATGTATGTCTATTTGTATGGCTGTATGTGTAATTGTATGTTTCTGTATATAAGGCTGTATTTACGGGTGTCTGTATTGTTGCTTTTACAACTTAACGAATGCCGGAATTTATGACTGTATATTTGAGTGTTTGTTGGCTGACTTAAGGGTTTACATATGTATGGCTGTAAATATGTATATTAATGGCTTTACATATGAAGGTATGTACGGCTGTAGATATGTATATTAATGGCTTTACATATGTCGATCTGTATGTCTGGTTCTCTGTTTACTTGCCTGTATGTGTAGAAGAGGGTAGCTGTAACATACTGCCAGTCTGTATGACAACAAGTATAAATGTCTTACAGTATATTTGTCAGGTTTACAATTTGGATTTACTCCCCCCCCTCCCCCCCATATCTGTCAGGCTGTTTGGGCGTGTCTGATTAGTTTGAGGTTGTTTGACTTTGTACAAGGGATGTTCATCTATTGATCTGTTTCGATTAGTATCTACAGCACCAGTGGTAAGGAATCTAACGTATGCGATGAACAAGTTGCTAGTATTAGAGGAAAATAGAAAGATAGATGAGAGAAAGTGAGACAGATATATAGAGAGAAAGAGAGATAGAGAGAGAGATTAGAGAAAGATAAATAGAGAGAAAGAGACATAGATGAGAGAAAGTGAGAAAGATATATATAGAGAGAAAGTGACGTGAGAGAAAGATACACAGAGAGAAAGAGAGATAGAGAGAGAAAGTGAGAAAGATATATATATATATATATATATATATATATATATATAGAGAGAGAGAGAGAGAGAGAGAGAGAGAGAGAGAGAGAGAGAGAAAGAGACGTGAGAGAACAATATACAGAGAGAAAGAGAGATAGAAAGGTAGAAAGAAAGATATAAAGAAAGAGAGATAGAAAGAAAGAAAGAGAGATAGAAAGAGAGATAGAGAGAAAGAAAGATTAACAACGGCCGATAAAGTTGACTAAAGAGTATCTGTTATGGAGGAATAAAAACCATCACCAATATTATTATTTTGCCCGACTCAAAGAGCCGTAACTCTTTCTTGGGCCGGAAGTGACATAAAAGCTGTTCATGATGGGCATAGTCTGGGATTTTATCCCGTTTTTTTAAATATAAAAAATACGTTTGGCCTTGAACTTGAATGATGATGTTGTATTACAAGTTTGTCTACAGGTGGAGCGTGATGACAACGTTTTGTTACGATGGAACTATACACTCAACTTGGTCTAGTGATGTGTTAACTTTTACTGGCTTTATAGTAGCTTTAGACTGCGACAAATAAAATGTGATCTTGAAAGTACCGCAGATAAAATGTGATCTTTAAACTTAGGCAGGTAAGTAATTAAAGGCAGTTGCTTTCTGATGTAAATAATACAATTTCGTTCAATGGCAAGTAAGTCGAGTAATAACAAAGTAAGGGAAAGTAAGTCGAGTAATATCAGAGTAAAGGGAAGTAAGTCGAGTGATATAATAATAAAGGGAAGTAAGTCGAGTGATATAATAATAAAGGGAAGTAAGTCGAGTGATATAATAATAGAGGGAAGTAAGTCGAGTGATATAATAACAGAGGGAAGTAAGTCGAGTTAAATCAGTGTTGAAAAACTTCCAGCGGTATTAGACGATGAAATCAAGATAATTAGGTTACGGTAGGCTAATTGGGACAGTAACATATGGCACACTGTGTACATTTGTGTCGTTATTACACACCTGAGGTTTGGAGTGGATGTTTTTGTACACAAAAATATATAAATTGGTGACTGGTGAATGAAAAGGATGGGAGGGGGGAATACTGGAGCGGCGAGGTTAGGAAAAGTCAGACGGGTGCACATGACGACCCAACTCGACCCAAGTGTAGTAGGTCTCTTGATGCAATGAAGTAACGAAATAGGAGAAGTTTGACCGCGGCAACCTCAGATGAAGACCCAATATCTTGTCTTTACTAAACATGGTGCCAATTCAAGTCTGGAGATCTGTGTACAAAACCCGTCTGGTGATTAGTGATATAAGGAAAGCTCGTGTCGTCACGTGACCAAGATTATAAGCTCGTTTATAACCTTTACATCGTACGTTATATCTCAGCAATCTCCGTAGTTGTAATAGTCTTAACGCTCTATACACAGATACTTTTTTGTACAGTTAACTTATATAATTCTTTATGGTTACATTTGCGTCTATATTTCAGTATCTGTGTATAGTTCAATTTGTAATTGTTGTCATTCATATTTATTAAACATCATATTCTCTATCTATTTAAGTGGCGTTAAGTACAACTGCAAAATTACGGCATGGTCGAATAAATTCAAAGCTTGTAGTAGTTACAACTAAGTCACGTGCAGACTTAGAGACCACTTGATGGTAGTTGAGGTGATCAGTTAAACTAGAAGGTGAGAACTTAAACTAAATGGTGAGCAGTTAAACTAGAAGGTGAGCAAAAAAAAACGACATGAAATAAAAATGTGAAAAGATGCACTCACCATTCCCACATAAGATCGACAATAACTAGATGGCATCCATTCTCCCTCTACTCTCCCGCGCTCAGCGCTAATGGAAACACGGTCTGGATTCGGCGGGCTAACACCGACGTTACAATCACGCGTGGAACTGTATCGAACGTCCAGCACTAAAACCAGATCGATCGGGGATAATCTGGTCAGGCGATCGGAAAATTTATCAGCAGGAAATAAAAAAATAAAAAAAAATAAAAGGAAAAACAACAGGCGTCGTATTGTTGTTGAAAAAAATTAAATGAAATTGTAAGAAAATAGAAATAACCCGGCTGAAGGGTAGGCAGGGGGAGACAGTGGTGACAACAGTTGGGCAGGCGATACCAGCTCGCGAGGAATCTCAGCCAGCAGGGCGCTGGATTTATCGACGAGTTCATGGAATCGCTGGGAAATGTACTCGATATTTTATACATATCGAACTCAGTTTTTAGAGTCGATGTAACTAGCACGAGATAAATGGGTTCCACGTCAAGTACAGGAATCGTTTCAACTCGATACTTTGTGATTAAACACGATACTGAGATTAAACTCGATACTTTGTTATTGAACTTGATCTAAGAATCAACATTAAAAACATGTTGTTTTTATTCGATGTTTGAATGTCCTAGTAACAATGCTGATGCTTGGCCATAAGAAAAAAAATTTACAAGAATATATCAACTACGATCATGCAACACATACGTTCTGCTCACAATATAACACAAAACACGATCTTTATATAATGCAGTACAAGCTTATTTTAGGTGTAGGCCTACATGGAGCTAGTATGTAACGGAGAAAGCAGAACGTATTTTCATATCAATAGTATTCCAAGAGATATTTACTTGTATATTTCTCATTTCTCTGTATATATATATATATATATATATATATATATATATATATATATATATATATATATATATATATATATATATATATATATATATATATGTGTGTGTATGTATATATCGGTGCCATCCGATTGGGTCAGCGCTCTCCCCCGACATGTGAATCAACTGGTTTCAGTTTGCTTAATATTTTGTTTTCTTAACTTTAGTGTAGTTAATGTTAATCTGCTAATCAGTGGCGTAGCGAGGTCGGGTGTCTTCCGGTGCGGCACTTAATGGTGTCTTTATTTTTTACTATTTTTTACTATTTTTGTCTTCGTGTCACCCCCCTAAATGGTGTCACCCGGTGAGGTCCGCACCCCCCCCCCCCCCCTCTCGCTACGCCTCTGCTACTAATTAATCATCTACCGTATCTTTATGCGTGTGATAAATGTGTAGAGCGTACAATACCGAATGAAGCGGGAGTCATCTCCCCTAAGTTCTGTATGTTTGTGTATAGCAGCCGGCGTCTAGTGAAATTGGGCAAAAGATATGGTAGGTAAATTTGTGAGAAAATCGATGTTCTTAGAATATGGTGCTTTATATGAATTTGATATAAAATTGTCAAACCCTGTATGCTTTAAAATAAACTCGATATAGATAAGGGGTCATATATAAATGACGTCGCGCTTTTTATGACGATTTTTACCTCCCCTCCCTCCCCTCCGTCACACATCGTCACAAAAAGCCAGATCCCCACCCCTAAAATGACCTCAGCCTACAACCCCCCCTCAAAATTGCAGCTGAATTTTTCTTAAAACATCGACATTTTTCCAAAATCTTGGCTGAACTCTGTCAATATAGAGTATTTTAATCAATTCCTATTGCAATTTATTAAAAACAGTTCTTTAAAACGCGAAATAACGTCTTAAATTAGTTTTTAACATTGCATTTTTATAATGCAAAAGTGTGACGTCGCATCATCTGAACCCCCCCCCCCCCTCTCCCCCTCACCACACACTGTCACAAAATTACGGACCCCCCTCCCCTTCGTGTGTGACGTCATTTATGGACGACTAAGTACCAAATCCGGTTTTCGCAATTTGTTTAAGAGTTGATAGAAACCTACCTAAAGGATCTAATACTTATGTATGAAATTCCGTACACCATAATGAAACGGTACTTATGATATCGTAGTTACTATCACATACAACCATTTACACATTCAGACATAAGCACGAAGGGACGAAGTGGTCTGCTAACCCGTAAGTCTCGAGTTCGAATCCGGGTTCAAGTTAGTATACCGTCCCTGATTCCACCCAACTCTGATGGGTACCTAACTCAGTTTAAGGAAAGTAAAGGTGGCTGGGCATAGTGCTTACCACACTATCTCATCATATGCCGAGGTCACAGAAACAAGTGAACTCTACTTCACTTGCCCCATAGACCGTCAGGTTTGAAAGGGAAACTTTACTTACTTTACATAAGCACGCACATACAATATTGCAAAACTGGGCCTTTCGACTTCATGAAGGTTTCGAAATTCGAAGTTTGTTAAAATCTCCATTTTGATTTGTTTTCTCGATTACAATAGTTCCCCTTTTGTTTGCACGATTACAATACTTCCCCTAGTCTTTGAACGATTACAATACATCCCCTAGTCTTTGAACGATTACAATACTCCCCTTATTGTTTGCACGATTACAATACTTCCACTTTACATAGTTAGTTGCACAAACCAAGAAAATATGACGTCACAGTCTCAAAACCTTTCGTTTACAAAGAAAATAATTACGTCTACAGCCGTCTACGCATAGCGCATCAAACGGCTTTAAAATAGATATCACGTGACTCCGTAACCCGTTTTAACTTTAGTCGGAACGACTTGATGCGGCCGCTTACGGCAGATTAATTTTTTCTTCAAGACCCCTTTTCTTTATGTCAAAACAAAAGCCACTTAAAAAGGTAAGTTTTCAAAAATTGTATTAAAATATTTTAACACTCGGACTAGCTCTGTATTTGTTAGGATTATTTTAATAATCCATTTTTCTGCTTAAGTCTAATTTTTTGTAATATTTTACGCTTTAGCAGACTACGAACTTCGTCTCACAAAGCAATCCTCCGAATGACACTATTTAAACGGTATCGATACTTTTTAAACCCCTTTCCGCGCCGATTGATTGATTGTAAAATATAATAAATTTTATGACATTGACGCTTTAAAAAAAAAAGAATACTTACAAAATTGGAGTTTAAATGTTGCTAACGTAATTATCTTGTGTTAAATGTTAATACAAAACACATTTATACAAATATGTAACGTTTTGAAGGCCCGCTCTAGTTGTAACTAATTCGCTGTAATCATGATCGAACTGGGAATCGAGCTATTAAAATAAAATACTGTAAAAAGATACACACTTGAACTAAACATGGATCGAGTGTAATATATTTATCTATTTAATTAAATGCACTAGTAGACTTCTTTTTGATAATTATTAGCAATGTAGAAAATATTGAAAATGGTCTCACAAAGTAGACCAATACTAGGAATATCGATACCGCTTAACACGTATCTCCGTTCAGCCTTAAATCTAGTTTTTAAGCCCCGAACTTACTAGTTAATTAATTAGCTCTAAAGGCTTTATACATGATTAATATTGATAAAATTAAAATTAGTGATTCAATTATTGTTTAAATTGTAAGGTTCTTGTTAATAAAACACCATATTGCAATGTCTGTCAACCTATTAAGTAGGCCTATTAAATATACTATATATTTTAAAATAGGCATATCGTTGTTTTCGACTTACTAGATTATTAATTATTATTACTCAGTTGTTTTTTTAAGCACTCACAAACACACTAGCTTTTGTTTAACTAATAACTGTAATAAATATATTAATATGTTTAATATTATTAAAGTTTAATTAACTTTATTAAGCCTATAACTTGATATATTAGTAGTAACATATTTTATGCGGACGTTACAAAAACACAAAAGCCAGTCACTCTTTTAATTTATAATTAGTGGTATCGATGCCCTTCTTCAAAAGGTCCGTGTATTTTTTTTTAGAATAATAAAATATATTATAAGTAGAACTATTAATTTTTTTTTAGCTATCCATTGTCAAAAATTAAATAATATAACTATAATTAACTACTTATGATTTCATTATTTATAGGCAAGACAGAATGGGGAAGAAGAATGCCTTGAATGTAGTCAATCTCTATCAAAGGTATTCTGGTGTAAGTGGTGAAGTGTGAATAGACAATGTAGTTTATTTGTATTATATAAAAAATAAAAATATCTCCAAGGTACTTGATGAGCTATTAGATAGAAACAGACATATAAAAACAACAAAAAATTATTTTGCTAACAGAAACTCTGTAAACAGAATCATAAAAAAATTCATGCTATTAAAATCAAACCCTGAAAGAAATTGGCAACAGTTGGTTAGTTATTTCAATGAACCTTATGTAGGAATAAACACACAGGCAACACCACTATCTGTGAGAAAAGGTTAAAGCTAAATTAAATAAATCAATGGAGTGGCTTGATGCAAAAAGTATCAATGAACAAAATCAGCTAATTGATTTTGCTATAACTGAAGGTGCTCGCAGGCGAAGATCACACAAAACCCAAAAGCGAGAAATTGAAAGTGAAATCATACAAAGAAGAGAAGAATCAATTAAAAAGAAAGAGAATAAAGAAAGAAGTTAAAGATAGATGTTGATAAGTTGGCAAAAGGTCAGTTATTTATTAATGATAAAATATTCTGCAATGTGGAGACCAGACCAAAACAATTGTTAGCTAAAATTATCAATGGAGAGGATATGACTGGCCAACTGCTAAGTGGGAATGTATAAATGAATATGACACCTTGTTTTTTGATTCAATAACGAGAAACACAACCAAAAAAAACTAGGCATAAGAACTAGCCGTGCGTTATGAGCAAATACCTTTTTTTTTTATACCTTTTAGTATTTTACATAAAATATTGCCTGTATTCCTGGATCTCGTACTATGAAATCTAGCATTTAGGCCTAGTTAAAACCGTTTCAGATAATAAAATAGTTTTCGACAAGACTGACAACATACGATCGGTAATTCCCGTCAATAAATTTGTATTTAACATAAGACTATGTGCTTTAATGAACGGAAGAAAAGCCATATTGACTAGTGTATATATGTTCGATGTTAATGGTAGTTTAGAAATTACTTGTATAAATTTGTATTTGTTATTTTGATTTCCTTTTAACTAAATAATGCATAATTTTCATTCCAGGATTCTCAGGTAAGGGTAAATTAAAACAGTGGAAGATAGTTACTAAAGAAACTTATATAAAGTCAATTAAAATAAAATAAAAAACTCTTAAGATCTAGACCTAGATTTTCTAGATCTATATAATCGTCTATAATCAAAACAAAAATAAGCTACCATTAATGGTTATACTAGACATATTCACGTGCGTTAATATGTCAATAGCTGCTGTAGCATACAAAAGACGTTGTATATATTTTAAAAGGTAGATAAAGGACTAGGATAGAGATGGTGATAGGAAATTTGAAATTCTTTATAGGTAAAAACAGCTAATCTGTATAATTTCATAATGCCCTAACGAAAAATTACCGCATCGACTGAGCCATAAACCAATCATTGATCTAATTAAATTAATCAACCCAAGTAAATAAATGTCCAGAGGATTTAAAATTTAGTTGCAAAGGCAGATAAATCTCAGAGAAGATACCGATTACAGAGACAGACAGGTCTTAGAGCGGAGTTTCTCCACTCCCCCTTCCACTTTACGAGACACACTTTCCTCATCAACAGTAACCATTCATAAGATCCAACCTCCCTCCCCCTCTCTAGAATAGTATCCCATGGTGAGTTATAGAAGAATGTAATAGTATTACTTATCCAATAAAATGCTCTAAACAGAATACAAGAAATAAGAATATCTCCTCTAATAAAAATGAGAATTCACAAAATCATTCTGTAATCTGTGTGCTATATTTCACGGGTCCTAGGTGCTTTGACCACACGTGCTTTGACCATAGGGGGTTTGACTATAGGGGGTTTGACCACAGCGGGGCTTTGACCACAGCGGGGGCATAATATATAGATTTTAAAATAGAAATTATAAACTGCTATTTTAATCTTAATTTATGATACAATTAATATCATTGTATACATGTTTCCTGAAAGTCCATTAATAGAAATTATTATAAACTAAAATAGTCAAGAACGATATTTTAGTCTCCACATAAAGTCTGGTGCTAGACCTAATAGATTTATTTTAAATATAAATGAAACACAAATAATGCGACATATAACAAGATGGTTAACTAAATGACAGATGTGCTATAGCAAGAGGCGTAGCGACCCTTCCCGGCGCCCGGGGACATACTTTCAATTTGGCGCCCCCCTTGGGAGCAAATTCTCGATTTGCACCCCCCCCCCCCCTCGAACTTTTCATTTGCACCCCCCCGCCCTCAAATTTTCGATTTGCACACCCCCCCCCCTCGAACTTTTCATTTGCACCCCCCCCCTCAAACTTTCGATTTGCACCCCCCCTCGAACTTTTCATTTGCACCCCCCCCCCTCACACTTTCAATTTGGCGCCCCCCCCCTAAGGTCGGCGCCCGGGTACATATGTCCCCTCCCGCCCCCCCCCCTCGCTACGCCTCTGGCTATAGCACGCAAATATGTCAGTACATCTGTTTGACCATATGTCTCGACAGCACGCTGTACTTTTTCGTGCACCATCTTGTATCGCTTCTCAGCTGGGTAGCTTGCCTCTGCGACACCTTGCAAGAAAGTTGTCTTTTGCCGTGTGCAGTCCATCTGTAGACCTTCAAGGAAACGCCACATTGTTGGGTGACTACATTGGAGGAGAGACTGAAGACTGTAATGCCATCCTTCACAAATGTTATTTGTTCGTGCTACACCATCGCCAATCGTGTGCATTTGATTCCAAGTTTCATCTGGAAACAAGGCAAGTTTGTACTTTTCGCCACGACCACGGATGCGACGACCTCGGATGTAAACTCGAATGTAAATAATATGCAAATGAAAGACTTATAGTGGGACTACATATTTGTGAACACATTTGCTAAAGCAAAAATTCTTGAGTGCAAATCTTAATCCTTTAGGTTATCGCAATTTAAAATATGATTTAGCAACTTTTAAAATAAATCCTTACCATATATGGACAGCATTGGACAAACCACCTGAAATCAGAGACCCTATGTGGACAAAACACCTATGATCAAAGCCGGACACAGCGTTTGTGATCAAACACCCGTTGATAGACCACCTGTGATCAGAGACCATCTGCTGAGAAAACACCTGTGGTCAAACCCCCTATGGTCAAACCCCCTATGGTCAAAGCACCTGTGTTCAAAGATCCGCGCACCATTTCACGACATATTTCTTCATTTTGTTACTACTATGTTTTATAATGTAAATGTTATTTCTAAAGCTATGTTTTGTTGTAATTTAAATTGTATTACATGCGGCCAATGATTAAAAAGTGCACCGTGTTTTACAATACTTTTAAATTTTAGTGATGAATTTAGTGATGTATTTAATGAACGAATTTCGTTTTCTTTGTTTTTTTTAAACAAGGGAAAGAATTCAAAAATAAATTCTGATTCCAAGTAATGAGGCGTTGTCTATTCGATGGTGGGGCGATATTGACTGAAAACACCTATAAGATACTAAAATGATTTCAGATAAAAGCATCTATACGAAAATATATTAGAAGGCATGATCGAAAGGTTTACCGAATAATGCACAATCCAAAAGCTGCGAAATGGAAAACTGTATAAACAGTTTAATTGGGAAAATACAACATAATTATAGTAATAATCCATAGTATTGTCTAGACTTGAAGACGAGTGTTTTTATTATGCTACTCATTGTTAATATCTATAAAAGCTCAACTTCAAAAAGCAAAATGCCATTGCGCACTTTTTTTGTGTGCTCAATTTCCGTTGCGCATCTTTCCTGTAACCCGTCGGGAGTTGAGCGCATGACAGCAAGCCGCTCATGAAATCTCATGACATCTCATGAGATCTTTTATATTTATTAGCAACCAAAGCTTTTTATTTAATACAGCACATTAGTTTTATTTTCTTATTTTCAGTGCATTTAAAAGCTTGTATTATAAAGGTTTTTATATTTCTTTTTTTTTTTTTTACTAATTATTCATTCGTTCTGTATGAAGATGGCACTACGACTACAACCCTGTGTGTTAAAACCTGACTGATAGCTCTAAAAGAGAGTTATTTGCCCTTAGTTCAAGGGCGACGCTCAGACCGTGACAAAACATTCGGCGTGAACCACAGCTCAGCCGACTGATAGAGCGATCACGTCTAGCTAGTTATCTACCCTTTTATTATTGAATTCAGTTATCTTTTAATTAAATTGTAATGATTAATCAACAGTCTAATTAGATTTTAAAAAATGACATTCATACATTGTCATTGAAGAAGAAGATATCAGTTATCTTTTAATTAAATTATAATGAATAATCAACAGTCTAATTAGATTTTAAAAAATGATATTCATACATTGTCATTAAAGAAGAAGATATCAGTTATCTTTTAATTAAATTATAATGAATAATCAACAGTCTAATTAGATTTTAAAAAATGATATTCATACATTGTCATTGAAGAAGAAGATATCTGGGAAAAATGAATGGAATAGTTGGATTAGAAGTGGATTAAAATTAAGTGACAATATTTGCCACAAACCCACAGACAAACAAACGGACTTTGCGACCTAAGTAAAAGGTTATAAAACATGCAAATGTAAACTGTTGCACACTCTTACAGGCGAGGTCATCGACACAGGTGTCAAGGTCAACTCAGGTCCCCCCACACAGTGCTGCGTGGGCGTGTCAAAGTCATCGGCTTGTTCGTTCTCCTGATAACCAAAGTCACACCTTGTGAGTTGACTTATGACTTCAGAAAAAGTTGAAAAAATATTTCCAAATACAGTAGGTCAATTTAAAAAAATCATTGTTCATCTCTCTAACTCACCCTCCCTCTCTTTCTGTTTATGTGTGCGTATATATATATATATATATATATATATATATATATATATATATATATATATATATATATATATATATATATATATATATGCATATACATATACATATATATATATATATATATATATATATATATATATATATATATATATATATATATATATATATATATATAGTAAGATTTTAAAAGGAGATCCAATTGTTTAGCCTGCGATCAGGATGGGTTTTTTGGTGAGGTACGGTGTAAGTACAAGTGCCACTGTCAAGGACCATGCGACCGTACTAGTGGAGACTGTCTGAGGGAGGCTTTGTGTCAGGACGGGTACTTTGGTCACAAGTGTCAGTATTGTGAGTGAGCAGCTTGTTCTGTCTTGGGTTCATGTAAAGATGATGGGGTTCAGCTGTAGAGATGGGGTTCAGCTGTATAGATGGGGTTCAGTTATACAGATGGGGTTCAGCTTTACAGATCTGGTTCACCTGTAGAGATGGGGTTCAAATGTAAAGATGGGGATAGGGTTCAATTAACAGATGGGGCTCAAATGTACAAATCGGGTTCAAATGTTAAGATGAGAATGCGGTTTACCTGTACAGATGGGGTTAGAATATACAGATGGGGTTCGCCTCTATAGATGGGGTTCAACTATACGGATGGGGTTCAAGTGTAAAGATAGGGATGTGTTTTTACCCATAAAGATGGGATTCACCCTTCAACCCCCCCACCACCCCTATCCCTCATAACCCACCCTTCAACTCTCACCCTCCACCTCATCCAACAACCCCTCACCAACTCCACCCCCTTCCTCATCCCTCCACCTCCTCCCACTCAACCCCTCACCAACCCCCACCCCCTCCTCACCCCTCCACCTCCTCCCACACAACCCCTCACCAACTCCCACCCCTTCCTCACCCCTCCACCTCCTCCCACTCAACCCCTCACCAACCCCCACCCCTCCTCACCCCTCCACCTCCTCCCACACAACCCCTCACCAACTCCCACCCCCTCCTCACCCCTCCACCTCCTCCAACTCACCCCCCCCCCCACCCGCTCCTCACCACTCACTACCCCCACTTCCTCCTTTCAGACGACATCGCCCGGCAGTCATCGACTACATCCCCACAAGTAGTCGATAACGACACCACCACCTGCCTCCGTTCCTCCCACCTGCCCGTCTCCTTCTCCTGGCCTGAAAGAAACCATTACTTCCGGTTCATACGATTCTACCACTACCAACGTAAGGAGAATGAATACAGCCAGTGGCGTAGCGAGGTCGGGTGTCACCCGGTGCGGCACTTAATAGTGTCACCACCCCTCCCCCCCCCCCCCCGAGGCGTAGCGACTCTTCCCGGGGACAAACTTTCAATTTTCGATTTGCACCCCCCCCCCTTTCTCAAACTTTTGATTTGCACACCACCCCCCTCGAACTTTCGATTTGCACCCCCCTCGAACTTTCGATTTCCACCCCCCTCCTTCACACTTTCGATGTGCACCCTTCCCCCTAAAATTTTTCTCCATATATTTTACTATCTTTTGCCTTGGTGTCACCCCCCTAAATGGTGTCACCGGTGCGGTCCGCACCCCCGCCCCCCCCCCCCTCGCTACGCCTCTGAATAAAGCCACAAGTCAACACACACTACTCTAGTTATAGAATTTGGAGTACCTGCGCATTCATATACATTGTTTGGAATTAAAATTAAAAAAAAAAAAAAGAACAAAATTTTAATTTAAAATGGGTCACGTTTTTAATTACTAGGGGACGGCTTGTTGGAGTGTTAGAGCACACACTACTCTAGTTACAGAATTTTAAGTAGGCTATCTGTACTTTCATAATGTTGTTTGGAGCTAAAATAAAAAATAATAAATTACAAAGATTTTAATTTAAAATGGCGATGTTTTAAATTATTAAGGGAGGGTTTGGTCGAGTGATAGAGCACACGAAAATTAATTAACCCTTGAGTTCGATTCCTATATTCAATCGCGCACGACGTCTAAACACACTAATACCTGACGTAAACACTTTTTAAGTCGCGGGGTTAATCCTACTTATACACAGTTCCATCCAGAAGATTCGAACTCGGGATTTTTTTTTTGTCGTTGTAAAATCGCCTGCTCTAGCCGCTCGACCACACGCATTACCTGCTCACCCCAACATCCACCCCCAACATCCATTACAACATCCACCACAACATCCACCCCCAACATCCATTACAACATCCACCACAACATACACCCCCAACATCCATTACAACATCCACCACAACATCCACCCCCAACATCCATTACAACATCCACCCCAAACATCCACCCCCAACATCCATTACAACATCCACCACAACATACACCCCCAACATCCATTACAACATCCACCACAACATCCACCCCCAACATCCATTACAACATCCACCACAACATCCACCCCCAACATCCATTACAACATCCACCCCAAACATCCATTACAACATCCACCCCAAACATCCACCCCCAACATCCATTACAACATCCACCACAACATCCACCTCCAACATCCATTACAACATCCACCCCAACATCCATTACAACATCCACCCCAACATCCACCCCCAACAGCCATTGACAAGATACCCAAGAAGGAAGAACTGAACATCCTAGTTGAGAACAGCGCAGGGGCGGTCCCGTGTCAGGACGAACAGCGGATTCGATCCGGCTCCGTCATCTTAGACGTGTACTGCACGCTGACCGACTTGATCAGCAAGGTGACCCTCTCTGGACAGTTCATTAACGGCTTGTGTACTGTGTACATCAGTCCAGGTATGTACAGCTTGGTACACCATAGTTCATGCATTCATGAGAGTCAAAGTAATTTTTTCCATTCAGTTTTAAGTCCATGCTAATTATAATTTCAATAAAAGAAAAATGTATTTTAAAGCTCTACGTAAGGTAAAAGATATTGGAAAAGTTTCAATCTGATAAAAGGAAAACATACCAAATAAAGAATGGAATCCTTAAGAAGACGTAATGGACACGAGCGAGAAAACTCTCAAAGGTATTTGAGAGGTGTATAAATTAGTTTAAAAATCATGCACAGCGTAGTTACAATTAATATGGTTATAAAATCCTGTCTATCTGGTTTTTTTCGGACTTTACTAAAGATTGGATGTATTTGATGTTTATAATATTTTCGGTAACTAAATAAAAATTTAAAAAAAAAGCAAAAACAATTTGGTTTTCACGTGTAATGGCGACATAAACAATGGCATCCTGCTATTGGATAGGCCATCATTGATTTTATTGTACACATTGTAAGCTAAAAATAGAAAACTAGGTCATGGGGTTTTTAATTTGCATTGTAATTTAAAAACTTGATCTGCAAAGTTTTGTAAACAAATAGTTATCGATCGCTAAGTTACTGTACAGCCAATCAATATTTGTCTTACGAAAGTGAAACATCCGGTTTTAACTTAGGCTTGATGAAAATAAATAGAAATGTAGCCTTAAACTCAACAAATTATTTTCAAGTTCTCTGGATTTGCAACTTTTATAGCATTTATTCTAAAAATATAAAATTTCTAAATTAATTTTAGGCTTAAGTTTTTATTTTTTATTTTTTTTTACGGTCTAAATCTTAAAATGCACGTTTTTATTCCATGTCAACAACATTGGGGACGGAATCTCGTCAACTCGCTTGCCTCCATTGTTAGGTACTAGTCAGTTTACTTCTTGCTTTAAATAAATTGTAAACTTTAGCCAGGTACTTGGGAGCACGTAAGACGGAATCAAATCAACACTCAGACACTACTCGGAGACCATATGGGTAGAAGCCCAAACAGTTTGGGCTTGTGGCTACACAGACCTCAAACTTTGGCTTGTGGCTACACAGACCTCAAACTTTTGGCTTATGGCTACCGGACTTCAAAATTTAGGCTTGTGGCTACACAGACCTCAAACTTGGGCTTGTCGCTATACTGGCTTCAAAATTTGGGCTTGTGGCTACTGGACCTCAAAATTTGGGCTTGTTGCTACATTGACCTTACAATTTGGGCTTTTTGCTACATTGACCTTAAAATTTAGGCTTGTGGCTACACTAATCCTGCAATTAGGGCTTGTAGCCGCACACATCCTACAATGTGGCTTGTTATTACACTGTTTCTACTATGTGGGCTTGTCGCTGTAATAAATGAAGGTTAAATACACACTGCTGACACAGACACCTGTTCTGCTTATAATGTAGCCTACCTTTGTGTATGGTCCCTGTAGGTAGGAACCTTGCCATACTTAGCAGCGTCATCTCGCACAAGACCATCAGAAATCCTGCGATTGTTGATGGCAATGTTGCGACATGTTCGAGTTCGAATTCCAAAGAGAATCCATTCTGGAAAGTTATGTTCCGCACTCACGCGTACGCTAACTACTATTACACAATCTGGAACAAAGGTGAGACGTTGGTAGGGTCACCACTTGGTTTAATAAAGGTGAGACAAGGTGTGTTGTTACCACTTAGGTTAATAAAGGTGAGACGATGGTGTGTTGTCACTTAGTGTTTTAAGGTGAGACGTGTGTGTTGTGGGTCTGCGAATTATCCATTCGGCGTGTGTCGCATTCGGGCAAGTGTCCATTCGGGAAATCGGCCTTCGGGCAAACGGCATTTGGGCAAGTGTCTTTTCGGGAAAACGTCCAGCTCCCTTGTGTTGTCACCAACTATTTTAATAAAATAAAGAAGACACGTTAGATTGCTGATACTATATTGTTTTAAACAGAGGTGAGATACATGTAATAAAAATGTAAATAGTTAAAAAGAAAAGCTTGTGAAAAATTGTGTTTGTGTGGGCGCAAATTTTGTTTGAAAGTGTCACATATCTGTCATCTGTCATCTGTCATCTTTCATCTGTCATCTGTCATCTGTCATCTGTCATCTATCATCTATCATCTATCATCTGTCATCTGTCATCTGTCATCTGTCATCTGTCAACTGTCAACTGTCATCTGTCATCTGTCGTCTGTCGTCTGTCATCCGTCATCTGTCATCTGTCATCTGTCATCAATCATACGTCAAGTGTCACCTGTCATCTGTCATCTGTCAAATGTCACCTGTCACCTGTCAACTCCCACCTGTCACCTGTCAACTGTCACCCGTCACCTGTCATCTGTCATCTGTCACCTGTCACCTCTCACCTGTCACCTCTCACCTGTCACCTCTCACCTGTCACCTTCCACCTACCACCCGTCACCTGTCACCTGCCATCTGTCACCAGGTGACTTCACCTACTCCACCAGCATTGTGTCCGGCAACGAATCCATCATGGTCAGCGGCCGGGTATTTCATAAGCGCGAGATCTTGCCCCTCCTAGTGACTGACCCCCAGAACCTCTACAAGCCAGTCACCCAACTCACACTGGAAGCTGATGACAAGACCGCTAACAACAAGACTCTGGGCTTGTGTGAGTTGCGGGCCTTTGGAGGTAAGTTTTGCTGGGTAGAATGACAGGAACCCTAACAACAAGACTCTGGGTTTGTGTGAGTTGCGGGACTTTGGGGGTAAGTTTTGCTGGGTAGATTGACAGGAACCCTAACAACAAGACTCTGAGCTTGTGTGAGTTGCGGGCCTTTGGGGTAAGTTTTGCTGGGTAGAATGACAGGAACCCTAACAACGTGACTCTGGGTTTGTGTGAGTTGCGGGCCTTTGGGGGTAAGTTTTGCTGGGTAGAATGACAGGAACCCTAACAACGTGACTCTGGGTTTGTGTGAGTTGCGGGCCTTTGGGGTAAGTTTTGCTGGGTAGAATGACAAGACCGCTAACAACAAGACTCTGGGCTTGTGTGAGTTGCGGGCCTTTGGGGGTAAGTTTTGCTGGATAGATTGAGGAACGGATGGATTAAGCTTAAATGGGACCCCGATATACCGGCAGATTAAGCTTATCCACTGAGTACGTTGACTGATTAAATTTGGCCCCTGGATACACGGGTAGGTTAAGCTCAGCCCCAGGGTACACGGGCGAATAAATCTTACCCCTCCACCCACGTAAATACGAACGGATGAAGCTGAAACCAAATTTGTAATTCTTTCAAACTTGGGGCATGAGCCAATATCCGATCACAATGCAAGGTAACATTGAATCTGACGCATTTGGATTCTTAATTAATTTTTAACGAGTTAATTGAAATTTCCTATATAAAATGCTATTTTTCCGCGGTATTATATGAACATTGTGTCATTTAGTGCACATTTGTTTTTAAACATGCATGAATATTTTCAACGTATCGAAATTTTTAAAAATTTATAACGTTGTAATCAAAAGCTTTTAGATAACAATGCTCTAAAAAATAAATAAATAGAAAATAGGCCTAAATTATTTCTTTAAATATATAACAATGCTTATCTATTCAAATAACTATAACGAAAATCGTGTGTTAGCATTTTATCTATTGAATACCTTTACTAAGATTTTAAGAAGCGGCCCGCGATTTTCACTAATGTTATTTAAGTAGTCATGCTTCATTAGATATTTAAAGAAACTCGTTTATTTTTTACTTTTTAGAACTTTATCATATAAAAGCTTGTTATTGAAACGTTGTTTTTTTTTAAATTAGTTTTTAATAATTTTTTTTTTTTAATTTGTGAACAACTTTTCACACTGCAAAACGTTTTCTTTTTTAAATTTTCTTTTTAAATGTGACAAACTTTCAGACTGCGCCCCCAATGCATACGGCCTGGACTGTGATTACAGATGTCCAGATAAATGCGAGCAATGCGATGTGCAACTGACTTGTATTGGCTGTAAGAAAGGATACTTCGGACAGTATTGTCAATACAGTAAGTACATCTAGCTGAGTTATTCAGACAGTACTGTCAATACAGTAGGTACATCTAGCTGAAAGTACTTCATACAGTACTGTCAATACAGTAGGTACATCTAGCTGAGTTATTCGGACAGTACTGTCAATAGAGTAGGTACATCTAGCTGAGAGTACTTCAGACAGTACTGTCAATACAGTAGGTACATCTAGCTGAGAGTACTTCAGACAGTACTGTCAATACAGTAGGTACATCTAGCTGAAAGTACTTCAGACAGTATTGTCAATACAGTAGGTACATCTAGCTGAAAGTACTTCAGACAGTATTGTCAATACAGTAGGTACATCTAGCTGAGAGTACTTCAGACAGTACTGTCAATACAGTAGGTACATCTAGCTGAAAGTACTTCAGACAGTATTGTCAATACAGTAGGTACATCTAGCTGAAAGTACTTCAGACAGTATTGTCAATACAGTAGGTACATCTAGCTGAAAGTACTTCAGACAGTACTGTCAATAAAGTTGGTACATCTAGCTGAGAGTACTTCAGACAGTACTGTCAATACAGTAGGTACATCTAGCTGAAAGTACTTCAGACAGTGCTGTCAATACAGTAGGTATATGTTAGTGAGAGTATTTCATACAGTACTGTCAATAGAGTAGGTACATCTAGCTGAGTTATTCGGACAGTACTGTCAATACAGTAGGTACATCTAGCTGAGAGTACTCCGGATAGCATTGTCAATACAGTAGGTACATCTAGCTGAGTTATTCAGACAGTATTGTCAATAAGGTAGGTACATCTAGCTGAGAGTATTTCATACAGTACTGTCAATAGAGTAGGTACATCTAGCTGAGAGTACTCCGGATAGCATTGTCAATACAGTAGGTGGGAATTAAAGTACTTTATTTTCTCAGAATGTAATACATTTGTAGACAAGTTGTTATTGAAGTATTTTATTTTCCCAGAATGTAACAAATGTTCTGGAGACAAGTTGTTACTGAAGTATTTTATTTCCCCAGAATGTAACAAATGTGCCGGGGACACGTCTTGTGACAAGCTAACCGGGGTTTGTACGCACGGCTGTACACACAGATACAGGGGAAACAACTGCAACCACTGTAAGTAGAGTGGGTTCTCTCCCTTTATTGTTTCGATACAATAACAAATGAGTATAGTAAAAGCCAATGATTGTTGGGTAAAAAAAAAAGGCTGGTGCAATACCGCATTTTTTTAAAAAATCACTATTTAACAAACTCTAATTATTGAATACAAGTTAAAAATTACTAACGCGGCTTTCAACCTTAACGTTTTAACAAAAACTCTAAAAGCACTAATTCTATCTTACAACAAAACTCACCGACTCGATCTTCCAACAAAAGTCAACAACAGTTTTTTATCCCCTCCTCCGGATGTAATAGAAAAATAAACTGGGAGTGATCTCCCCTAAACTTTTTTGAATATTCTTATGTAACACTACGGGGATGGCAACTTGGGGTATAGACAATATTGTTAATCCATTTTTACTTTCTCGTCTATACAAAGTATAGAGAAAGTCTTGTAATCGTGCAAAAAAAAAAAAGAGATTTATGCAAATCTCGACGTTTTATACCTCCGGAGTCGGAAAAACACAGTTTTGCAATTTTGTCCATACGTCTGTGTGTGTGTGTGTGTGTGTGTGTGTATGTGTATGTGTGTGTGTGTGTGTGTGTAGACACGATAACTTAAGTACCGTTACAGCTAGGTTGATAAAATTTCAGATACAAGTATTATATAAAAATCGTAGATCCGTATCAACTTTTGAGCGATTTTCGATAACCGGAAGTGGAACATTTTCTACTTTGAATTTTTCAAAGCCTATAACTTGAGTACTAATTCAGATATATAAATGAAATTTCACTTGTAAGTATAAGATCTAATTCTCTGCCTTCTTTCAAATTTTGAGTAATTTCCGTTGAACGGAAGTAGTAATTTACGATATTTTTCATATCTAAAAAAAAACCAAAAAACGCATGTGATTTTATAAAATACTAATATAATTCCGCACTATTATGCACATCTTTTTTTTTGGCATTCACTTGGTGTGCAATTCTTTTTTCTAAGAGATTCTGTTCTTTTTTAAAAAGTTTAAGCAATTAAAATGGATTAAAAATATTGTCTATATCCTGAGTTGCATCCCCCGTAGTGTTATATAATAATATTCGAGAAAGTTTAGGGGAGATGACTCCTGGTTTGTTTACATTGTTTTATCCAGTACAATGTTGCAATCCGCCGCTCATACCCTATTACTTAATCTTTACAAAATATACAACACACACTATAAACTAAAATAATTTAAACTTTTAATCGACATAACTTAATCTTTGAACAATCTTGCATATTTCTTGCAATAGTCTGCATAAACTGCAACGAACAAAACTCATCGTGCGAACAAATAAACGGGACGTGTTTGAATGGTTGCCGGACGTCATTCACGTCGCACTCTTGTTTAAAAAGTACGTCATTCATGTGATATTCTTGTTTAAAAAGTACGTCATTGATGTGATATTCATGTTTAAAAAGTACGTCATTGATGTGATATTCTTGTTTAAAAAGTACGTCATTGATGTGATATTCATGTTTAAAAAGTACGTCATTGATGTGATATTCTTGTTTAAAAAGTACGTCATTGATGTGATATTCTTGTTTAAAAAGTACGTCATTGATGTAATATTCTTGTTTAAAAAGTACGTCATTGATGTGATATTCTTGTTTAAAAAGTACGTCATTGATGAGATATTCTTGTTTAAAAAGTACGTCATTGATGTGATATTCTTGTTTAAACTACTTTATTTGTAGAACAGGAAACCGTGTTTAAATGTAGGTCATTGGTGTGATATTCTTTTTTAAAAGTAGGTCATTGGTGTGATATTCTTGTTTAAAAAGTACGTCATTGATGTGATATTCTTGTTTAAAGTAAGCCATTTTTGGTGGAAAAAATCGTGTTTAAATGTAGGTCATTGGTGTAATATTCTTATTTAAAATTACGTCATTTCAGGGCAAATCGTGTTTAGCTGTACGTCATTGATGTGATATTCTTGAATAAAATGTCGTCATTTGTCCATTTTGAAGATTATCCTATTGAAGTTGTTGTCCATATTTCAGACTGCCCTATTTGAGATTGTGCTATTGCAGATTGTCCTATTTTAGATTGTCCTATTGTAGATTGTCATATTGCAGATTGTCCTATTGCGAATTGTCCTATTGCAGATTGTCCTATTGTAGATTGTCCTATTGTAGATTGTCCTATTGCAGATTCTCCTATTGCAGATTGTCCTATTGTAGATTGTCCTATTGCAGATTGTCCTATTGCAGATTGTCTTATTGTAGATTGTCCTATTGCAGATTGTCCTATTTTAAATTGTCCTATTGCAGATTGTCCTAATGTAGATTGTCCTATTGTAGATTGTCCTAATGTAGATTGTCCTATTGTAGATTGTCCTATTGCAGATTGTCCTATTGCAGATTGTCCTATTGTAGATTGTCCTATTGCAGATTGTCCTATTGCAGATTGTCCTTTTGCAGATTGTCCATATTGTGAAGGCAATGGATCTTGTGAAAGGCACGACGAATTCCACTGTAACTTTGGATGTATATATGGCGCTCGCGGTAAAAACTGCTATGGTAAGTCGCCATTCAGATGGGGGTACACAACGACAGCTAATGCCTATTCAACTTGTAATAAACAGCAACAATAACCCACTATACAGGAGGGGGGGGGGCTTTACTTTGCTACGTTATGTGTTTAAAATGTGTTGAACAGTACTACAGTAGATGACTACATATGTGGTGCACAGTACTACTAAAGTAACTATCTAAAGAAGTGATGAACAGTACTACAGTAGGTGACTACATATGTGGTGCACAGTACTACTACAGTAACTATCTAAAGAAGTGATGAACAGTGCACATACAAGACCACTAGAGATGTGCTGTAGATACACATTTTTTATGTTTCTTTATAAATATTAACGTAATTCTATCGTTGGGACCAGAGGTGGATTAACCAACTGGCCGGGTTGGTAGAGCAACACCCCCTCGTTTTATTTTACAAACGGCAGCGGACATCACGTTCTTACCGAATTTTTTTTCAGTTTATCAATAAAACTGAATCTCAAAAGTGAAACACAAAAGCTAGATTTTATGTGTGTTTTTTTTACTTAAACTTTAAAAAAAAAGAATCTCGTAGAAAATAGAATTGCTCACCAAGTGTACAGCAAACAATGTGTGTATAATAGTGCGAAATATTAGTAAAAATTCAGATGCGTTTTTGATAAATCGGAAATAGCGTAAATTACTATTTCCAGTTTGCAGAAATTACTCACAATTTGACAGAAGGCAGAAAATTAGATCTTTTATCTATTTGTGAAATATCGTTTGTCGATCTCAAACAATACTCAAGTGATAGTCTTTTGAAAAACGCCAAGTAGAATTTCCACTTACGGTCACCGGAAATCGCTAAAATGTTGATACAGAACTAGAAATTTGATATTATACTTAAATATGAAATTACATCAACCTTGCTGTAAAGGTACTCAAGTTATCGTGTTCACATATATATACACACACACGGACTAAATTGCAATAGTTTTTTCAACTCAAAGGAGGTGTTATACGTCGAGATTTATGAAAATCTCAATTTCGATTTTTTTTACACACTATTACAATACTTCCTTTATACTTTGTATACGAGAAAGTAAAAACACTTAGTGCTAATTTTTTCTTCATCAACAACAGCCTGACTCGTGTCATTTCTTTCCCTCAAACAGTGAGCGCGTTTGGTCTACAAATCATAACTCTACCAGTCTCCATCTACTTCTTGTCGGTGGCATTTTTCCTCATCGCAATCATTTACTACGGCTGTCGGAGTCAGTCAGAGCTGGAGGTCGTCGAAGAGTAGCCCGACCGTTACAGGTTCATTGTTACATGTTCATGATGAATAGCCCGACTGTTACATGATGAATAGCACAACTGTTACATGATGAATAGCACAACTGTTACAGGTTCATGATGTATAGCTCGACTGTTACATGATGAATGGCTCGACTGTAACAGGTTCGTGATGAATGGCTCGACTGTTACATGATAAATGGCTCGCCTGTTACAGGTTCATGATGTATAGCTCGCCTGTTACAGTTTCATGATGAATAGCCCGACTGTTACATGATGAATAGCACAACTGTTACAGGTTTATGATGAATAGCGCAAACAGAAGTTACATTACATGCTTCATAATAAATCGCCCAAACACAATTACAAGCTACGTAAGAATTTCATGAGGAATAGCCTAACTACAAGTTACATTTAGAGTTTCACGATGAATAGCCCTACCACAAGGAAATGTAAGAATTTCATGGTGAGTAGACCAATCACAAATTATATTTGGAGTTTGAAGATTAATAGCCCAAACACCAGGAAATGGAAGAATGTCATGATGAACAGCCCGCCTACAAGAATGGAAATAATCAGCATGACGTAACGGTGTTGAGGCGAGATACCAAACATTAACTAACATAATGATGTCGCTATTCTGTAATGTTGTACTGTACGTAGTTCTGTACGTGAAGTTTCATAAAGCATATCGTTTGAATCTTATGAGATTGCTTATATTACTATGTAATAAATTCCTGACATAATTGTCTTTGAAAGAGTTACGTCTGTAGGTCTGATATTTATTTTTTTAAAACGCTCTAAAGCGTATCCAACATAAGTGTGATCCTTGCTGCAGTTGGCCTCCTAAATTGTGTCTAATGTCAGATATCCCATCCAGCTCTATTTGAGAATTGACTTTATTAAGCTGCACTTCCTTGGGTGCACTCGACGGTACGAGATCAGAAACAAAATCAAACCCGAGTTTTTTTCATGTTTCTTTTTCTGTGGCAGCTCCCCCCCCCCTTCCACTCTCTCCAGAGTAGGTTCACCCCACTGACCCCGGACGAAATAGAAATAAAAGTATTTTATTTAGAAACTAGGGTCGGTGGGGTCTAGCGGTAGAGCTCTAGGATGCTAACCGTAAGTCGCGGGTTCGAATTCAGGTACAAGTCAGTAGAACTTCATTGACCACCCAACTCTGATGGGTACCTAACTCACGTTAGAGAAACAAAGGCGACTGGACTACACTATACCCTTGTGTGTGCCGAGGTGTTTAAAACAGATGCACTCTAATTCACCTGCCCCATGTGTTTTGGATATGAACGGGAAAGGATAATTATGATATAGAAACTAAAAAATATATATACATTAACCAGTGTCCATCGTATATTTCAAGCGTCCCCCCCACCCCCGAACCGGAGAATGTCTCCACCTCCCAATGATTAAACTATGGTAGAACTGATCTCTACACGACTTTAGAAATGACTTAACGGAACCAGAGGCGTAGCGAGGGGGGGGGGGGGGGGGGGCGGGGGTGCGGACCGCACCGGGTGACACCATTTAGGGGGGGTGACACCAAGGCAAAAAATAGTAAAATATATAGAGAAAAATTTGAGGGGGGGGTGCAAATCGAAAGTTTGAGGGGGGGGGGGGGGTGCAAATCGAAAATTGAAAGTTTGTCCCCGGGAAGAGTCGCCATTGACACCATTAAGGTGCCGCAGCGGGTGACACCCGACCTCGCTACGCCACTGAACGGCAGGTTTGCTAATGTCTTGAACTACAACTCATGTTGCGAAACCCTACCCGCCCATTTTCTGGAATAAAAAGGTAAAATCAAAAGCTTGAATATTTGTTACATAAAATCTGGCAAAGGTAAACTTTAGAGAAGAGAGTGTTAATATTTTTAAAAGTGATAAGAAATATGCAGAACAAAAAAAAAAAAAAACAAAAAAAAAAACAACTTAAGATATTGCTTTCAATTTATTTAACAATTTCACACATACGGTAAATGTCCATAAAATTAATACTTTACACAAAATCGAAAAAAAAGTATATTATTAAAATTACTAAATAAATATATATGTCATAACCATTTACATTTTAGTTGCAAATATTTCTAAGCTCATACAGTATAGCGTTGTGTACATGATAAATAATTTATCGAAACAATATACCGGTTTCCAAGATATCCTTTCGATTTAAGTTGCGTATAATAGTAGCTAAATTGTCTTGTTCGCTGAATAAATCCAACATCCAACGCTTACATAAAGAATATAATTTTTCCCCAGCTAATTTAAGATACCGTTGTATTACCTTTCTTTCTCATGGTCACATAAAGTATGCAATTCCCCCCCCCCACCCCCCACCCCCACCAGTTATTTAAGATAGCGTTGTTCTATTTTTCCATCTCATGTAAAGTTTCGCCCTCCTTCGCCTGGTACGTGCCGTGCTCTTCTTCTGGCATCTCCCATTCCTTCTGCACGAAAAAATGATCGCTCATCTTTCGTATTCGTACCCTCTTTCCTTGGTACAAACTCCCTCCACCCGAGTTAGGGTCATAGGGTGCGTCGTCTTTCTTACCCCCCAAGGCAATCGGTCGCACTTTTGGAAACGATATATCAAAATCTTCGTCGTCGTTGGATTTGTTTTTCTGATCCTGTTTAGGTTTTTGCTGCTGGGATTTCCCGGAGTTTTTGTTGTCTGGTTTCGGCGATTTGCTGGGATCGGTCGAGCTGGCCCCTGACTTCCGAGACTTGCCGCCTGCTTTGTTTTTGTCGACTGATGAAGATACCTTCGGTGGGTTTTTACTTGATTTGTCGTCCCCACCCTTACCCTTCCCACCCTTACCCTTCCCCTTCCCATCTTTTCCAGCACCTTTTTTACCCTTACCCCCACCGCCGCCATCTTTATCCTTATCATCTTTATCGTTGCCAGCGCCGTCCTTATCCTTATCATCCCCGTCATTATCCTTACCCTCACCGCCTTTATCCTTATCCCCCTTATCCTTATTTTTATCAGCACCGCCTTTATCCTTATTGTCTTTATCCTTTTTGTCTTTATCCTTTTTGTCTTTATCCTTATTGTCTTTATCCTTATTGTCTTTATCCTTTTTGTCTTTATCCTTTTTGTCTTTATCCTTATTGTCTTTATCCTTTTTGTCTTTATCCTTTTTGTCTTTATCCTTACCGTCTTTATCCTTACCGCCCTTATCCTTATTTTTATCAGCACCGTCTTTATCCTTATCTTTATTCTTGTCTGCATCGGGCTTTCCTTTCCCGTCCTTATCTTTTGATTTGTCATCTTTGCCTGCACCGCCATCTTTTTTCTTCTTTTCGTCCTCTTTTTTCTTCCTGTCCTCCTCTTTCTTTTTGTTCTTTTCGTTCTGCTTATCCCTCTTCTCTTTCTCCTTCTTCCTCTTCTCTGCCTCCTTTTTTCTCATCTTGTCCATCTCCTCTTTCCTCTTCGCCTTCAGCTTGTCCTGCTTCTCTTTCCATTTCTGTCTCTCCTCTAGGTACTTCTCTTTCTCTTTCGGCGTCATTTTTTCCAGGTCCGGCTTCTTGGGGGGCGCGCCCATGCACCCAGGGGGCTCCTCCGAACTGTTTGAATCCTTGTCGCGATTCTTGTCTGCAAAGTTTGATAAGGTGCATGTTTAATTGGTGATACCTGTGATAAGGTGTGCTAACACCTATTTATAGACTCGTACGGTACAGTAATATGTAAGTTAAGATAATATGTAAACAATAATTCATAGAATCGAGCGGTTCGGGAAAGAAGAAAAATAGAAAGCATTCATACAATAGCTATTATATAAAAGCATTATTTACTCTATCAGCCGTTGAGCTTAAATGTATTTACATGCTAAAACTAAGACACAATCTCTTCATACTCTGTGATATTTTATCTAACCGCGAAACGTATACCACACTACGGAGTTACCCGATTACGTAGTAATAATTAAGTAAAGATGTTTGGAATTAGGGGTTAAGGACATCTCTAGGTAATTAACGGCAGAGACTATGCATGTTCCAACATAGACATTAGACCAACATCGTGTACAGACCACCATAGACAATGGACCACAGACCACCATAGACAAACCACAATAGACCTCATATCACAGACCACCATAGACCTCATATCACAAATCACCATAGACAATGGACCACAGACCATCATAGACAATGGACCACAGACCATCATAGACAATGGACCACAGACCACCATAGACAATGGACCACAGACCATCATAGACAATGGACCACAGACCATCATAGACAATGGACCACAGACCACCATAGACAATGGACCACAGACCATCATAGACAATGGACCACAGACCACCATAGACAATGGACCACAGACCATCATAGACAATGGACCACAGACCATCATAGACAATGGACCACAGACCATCATAGACAATGGACCACAGACCACCATAGACAATGGACCACAGACCATCATAGACAATGGACCACAGACCATCATAGACAATGGACCACAGACCATCATAGACAATGGACCACAGACCACCATAGACAATGGATCACAGACCACCATAGACAATGGACCACAGACCACCATAGACAATGGACCACAGACCACCATAGACAAACCACCATAGACCTCATATCACAGACCACCATAGACAATGGACCACAGACCACCATAGACAATGGACCACAGACCACCATAGACAAACCACCATAGACCTCATATCACAAATCACCATAGACAATGCCACAGACCATCATAGACAATGGACCACAGACCATCATAGACCTCATTTCACAAATCACCATAGACAATGGACCACAGACCACCATAGACAATGGACCACAGACCATCATAGACCTCATTTCACAAATCACCATAGACAATGCCACAGACCATCATAGACAATGGACCACAGACCATCATAGACAATGGACCACAGAACAGACAATGGGCCACACAACACCGTAGACGATGGATCACATAACACTACAACCCACAAGCTATAGATCACTGAACATACTTCATTCTACCATACACGATAGACGACATACTATATAGACCATTAAACACAGACCACTCGAGACCACTCCTCAGCATTGACCAACATACAACAACAACAAGCACGCCACAAGTACACACATACCGCACATATACCAGTATGAAGGACACATACCAAAATACCAACAAAAAAAGACAGATCAATAATAGCATAGAATAATAAACCCTATTAAAACCACACAAAATTAATTACAAACGGAGCCACAGAACAGACAAACCAACAAACAAACAGCTAGTGCCACATCTGACCTGAGTCCTCTGGTCTCCTGTTAATGTACACAACCTTGCTACAGCAGTAGTAATAAATCAACCCCAGGAGCAGCAGTAGCAACAACAAGGCCAGTAACCCATACAAGATTCTCTTGAACCACTTAGTAGATTTGGCTTGGAAAGGGAAAGTAATAAAATATTTCCTTACTTACAGAGTTAACAAAGTTGTGTTGGTATTATTTGACCCACGACCCAGTCGATAACGTACTGCGACATACCCCAGTCAATGAATTATCAAGAAACAATCAACTACAATACTTTCTTAGTCCTCGCCCTCTTTTAAAAGACCCACTTTGACATGTATCTTTTTTAATAAACTCATTAAGGTTTCGTTTCGGGAATGGGGGGATTTGAAAATTACAGGTGGGAAGGGGTAGTCAAAGATTACAAAAACTAAACCCCATCAACAACTTACTTACACATAGATCCCAATCAACAACTTACTTATACATAGACCCCCATCAACAAATTACTCATACATAGACCCCCATCAACAGCTTATACATAGACCCCCAAAAACAACTTATTCATAGACCTCCATCATCAAATACTCACACATAGACCCCCATCAACAACTTATTTATACAAAGACCCCCATCAACAAATTACTCATACATATACCCCTATCACCAACTTACTCATACATAGACCCCTATCACCAACTTACTCATACATAGACCCCTATCACCAACTTACTCATACATAGACCCCTATCACCAACTTACTCGTACAAATATCCCCTTCAAAACCTTCAACGCAGCCTTCATCACAGCGATAGGTAGTCCTGTGGCAAGTGCCATTTCCTGCACAGTTATAGCAGGCTGTGACACATACAAATAATTTTAAGACATTGACCCATGCCAATTAGTGTGGTTTAATAGCTAATTAGTTCATATATATATATATATATATATATATATATATATATATATATATATATATATATATATATATATATGTATATATATATATGTATATATATATATATATATATATATATATATATATATATATATATATATATATATATATATATATATATATATATATATATATATATATATATATATATATGGGTGTGTGAGTAGTATAGATGTATGTTTACCTCGAGCACAGTTGGCATCACTGAAGCCAGGCCTGCATCCCCTCGTACAAGCACCTGTTGTTTGATCACAGGTTCGGTCTCCAGCACAGTTGGTGCAGGCTGAAAGCATCAACACATCACACATCACAATTTGCACACCACGCATCACAATTTGCACATAATACATCACAATTTGCACACCACGCATCACAATTTGCACATCAAACATCACACTTTGCACATCACACATCACAATTTGCACATAACACATCACAATTTGCACATCACACATTACAATTTGCACATCACACTTCACAGTTTGCACATCACACATCACAATTTGCACATCACACTTCACAAATTGCACATCACACATCACAATTTGCACATCACACATCACAATTTGCACATAACACATCACAATTTGCACATCACATATCACAACTTACACATCACCTCATACATCATACATCACATCATGTGTATCAGACTTCATGCATCACACATCAAACCTCATTTATCATAATAATATATCAAAACTCATTTATGACACATCAATTGTTATACAGCCCACCCCATACATTACATATTACATATAACACGCCACAGCTCTTTCATCATAAATCACAACCCATACATAATGCCCTATACATAACACCCCATACGTCACATCTGATATATCACACCTCATACATAACACCTCATACATAACACCTCATACGTCACATCTGATGTATCACATCTCATACATAACACCCCATACGTCACATCTGATGTATCACACCTCATACATAACACCCCATACGTCACATCTGATGTATCACGTCTCATTCATAACACCCCATACATCACATCCTGATATATCACACCTCCTACATAACACCTCATACGTCACATCTGATATATCACACCTCATACATAACACCCCATACATCACATCCTGATATATCACACCTCATACATAACACCCCATACATCACATCCTGATATATCACACCTCATACATAACACCCCATACATCACATCTGATATATCACACCTCATACATAACACCCCATACATCACATCCTGATATATCACACCTCATACATAACACCCCATACGTCACATCCTGATATATCACACCTCATACATAACACCCCATACGTCACATCTGATATATCACACCTCATACACAACACCCCATACGTCACATCCTGATATATCACACCTCATACATAACACCCCATACGTCACATCCTGATATATCACACCTCATACATAACACCCCATACGTCACATCTGATATATCACACCTCATACATAACACCCCATACGTCACATCTGATATATCACACCTCACACATAACACCCCATACGTCACATCTGATATATCACACCTCATACATAACACCTCATACATCACACATACTTACATCTATCCACGTGTGTCTACATACAATGAAAACGACATCTGTTTATGTTCCCATTCAGACTTTCTTCCTGGCATTTAAAAGTCCACCACCCCCCCCCCCCCCCGAACGAAATAGAATTTAAATAAAAAATACATACTTTTAACAGTGTCCACCCCCCCCCCTGGAAATTTTAGTCCGCCCCCCCCCCCCCCCCGAAATTTTCAAGTGCCCCCCCCCCCCCCGGAGAAAAAAAGGTCTGGAAGATACACTGTTCCCATTTCGGCTGTTAACAGAAGTAGTATTGCATTAGATAACTTTTTAAACGTGTAGGCCATTGACAAGCTTTGCCTTCTACCACTGACAGCTGACGATATTGCAAGACAAATCAGCGTCCAACCAAACGGTTTCAACTATTAAACAACATGTACTAAACAAAGGAATTGCCTTTCATAGTTTGTAACCTGGAACGTTCGTGTGTCGAGACGTTCGTAGAACGAGGTATATTACCTTGATCACAGGCAGCTCCGTGGTATCCTGACTGACATCCGCCAGCGCAAGCCCCGCCCTCTTTAGCGCATGCGCCGTTGCCGGTACAGTGTCCACAGCCTAGAAATGGAATGTGGTTTTCATGGTTTAGTTAAGATAAAAAGTGGTTTTTGTGGTTTAGTTGAGATTAAAAGTGGTTTTTGTGGTTTAGTTGAGATAAAAAGTGGTTTACATGCTTCATGCTTTAATTAAGAAAAAAAGTGGTTTTCATGGTTTAGTTGAGATAAAAAGTGGTTTTTGTGGTTTAGTTGAGATAAAAAGTGGTTTTTGTGGTTTAGTTGAGATAAAAATTGGTTTTCGTTGTTTGGTAGAGATAGGTAGTTAAATAGAGATACTTGTTTCTGTGTTGTTTTATATTGTGATTTTAAAAATAATGGTCATCATTGTTGAGTTGGGATATACAATGCTTTGTCACTTGATTTCTTTGCCAAACAAAGTGTTTTCGGGGTTTATGTTTAGGAAAAGCAGATAATTTCCCCTAAAATTATCATTAGACTGTAGCACCTAGCCTGTAACCCACTAGCCTGTCGCCCATTAGCCTGTAGCCCACTAGCCTGTCGTCCATTAGCCTGTAGTCCACTAGCCTGTAGCCCACTAGCTGTAGCCCACTAGCCTGTAGCCCACTAGCTGTAGCCCACTAGCCTGTAGCCCACTAGCTGTAGCCCACTAGCCTGTAGCCCACTAGCCTGTAGCCCACTAGCTGTAGCCCACTAGCCTGTAGCCCACTAGCTGTAGCCCACTAGCCTGTAGCCCACTAGCCTGTAGCCCACTAGCCTGTAGCCCACTAGCCTGTAGCCCACTAGCCTGTAGCCCACTAGCCTCTATACTTACGTAGAGAACAATCCCCTGAATGGTAGCCAGGAGTACACCCATTTGTGCAAACCCCGCGCTCGCCGCATGTGTTCCCAGCACAGTGTGTGCATTCTGAAAGTTAATGTACAGTAAACATGTTAGTGTAGGCCTAGCCAGACACACCCACCTAGTAAGACACACCCACCTAGCCAGACACAGCCACCTAGTAAGACACACCCACCTAGCCAGACACACCCACCTAGAAAGACACACCCACCTAGCCAGACACACCCACCTAGAAAGACACACCCACCTAGTAAGACACACCCAGCTAGCCAGACACAGCCACCTAGTAAGACACACCCACCTAGCCAGACACACCCACCTAGTAAGACACACCCACCTAGCCAGACACACCCACCTAGAAAGACACACCCACCTTGCCAGACACACCCACCTAGTAAGACACACCCACCTAGTAAGACACACCCACCTAGCCAGACACACCCACCTAGAAAGACACACCCACCTAGCCAGACACACCCACCTAGTAAGACACACCCACCTTGCCAGACACACCCACCTAGTAAGACACACCCAGCTAGCCAGACACAGCCACCTAGTAAGACACACCCACCTAGCCAGACACACCCACCTAGAAAGACACACCCACCTAGCCAGACACACCCACCTAGAAAGACACACCCACCTAGTAAGACACACCCAGCTAGCCAGACACAGCCACCTAGTAAGACACACCCACCTAGCCAGACACACCCACCTAGAAAGACACACCCACCTTGCCAGACACACCCACCTAGTAAGACACACCCACCTAACCAGACACGCTCTCCTACACATACACGCCTATCTAGCCAGACACGCCCTCCTACCTTTTACGCAATCATCCCCCCATAGACCAGCCTGACAACCTTGTGCACACCGTAACGTCTGCTGGTCGCATGTCCCGGCACAGTTAGCACAAGCTTAAGGTGAAAAAAACAGTAACCACAAGCTTAAGGTGGGAAAAACACAGCACAAGCTTAAGGTGGAAAAACAAAGTTACCACAAGCTTAAGGTGGGAAAAACAGCTGTTAGCTCCATCAGCGATAAACCATATGTTTTAGCATGCTCATTACAGACGTGTTTAACGCACCTTGTTTGTATGTTTATGAGTTTTGACCTATGTTACTTCAATAAGCAAGAGAAAAGTTCCCTGTTCAAACCTTAAGGTCTATAGGGCAAGTGAAGTAGAGTTCACTTGTTTCTGTGACCTCGGCATATGAAGAGATCGTGTGGTCAGCACTATGCCCAGCCGCCTTTACTTTCCCTAACGTCAGTTAGGTACCCATCAGAGTTTTGTGAGCTCAGGGACGGTCTACTGACTTGAACCCGGATTTTGTGAACTCAGGGACGGTCTACTGACTTGAACCCGGATTTTGTGAACTCAGGGACGGTCTACTGACTTGAACCCGGATTCGAACTCGAATAAGCAAGAGACCCTATGTTTAATGAGCTATGATCGGGTATTGATTGGTTTGTGAGAGGTGAAATGACTCGTATTCAACGACCTACATCTGTATGTTTAATGAGCTATGAGCAGGTATTGATTGGCCCGTGAGAGGTGAAATGACTTGTATTCAACGACCTACATCTGTATGTTTAATGAGCTATGAGCAGGTATTGATTGGCCCGTGAGAGGTGAAATGACTGTGAGAGGTGAAATGACTGTGAGAGGTGAAATGACTGTGAGAGGTGAAATAACTGTGAGAGGTGAAATGACTCGTATTCAACGACCTACATCTGTATGTTTAATGAGCTATGATCAGGTCAATATTGGCCCGTGAGAGGTGAAATGACTGTGAGAGGTGAAATGACTCGTATTCAACGACCTACGTATGTTTAATGAGCTATGATCAGGTCAATATTGGCCCGTGAGAGGTGAAATGACTGTGAGAGGTGAAATGACTTGTATTCAACGACCTACATCTGGCTCGACTCTTGCAAGTCAGCCCCTGATAATTGGCTTCACAGCCGCTGGGACACGCCCCTGTGTATCTGTCGCACGAGCCTCCGGTACAATGGCCACACTCTGAAATGGTAAACATTCTATACTCATCGTTCACTTTATTGGAAACATTGAACTCATTGTTTACTTTATTGGAAACATTGAACTCATCCATCACTTTATTGGAAACATTGAACTCATCGTTCACTTTATTGGAAACATTGAACTCATCGTTCACTTTATTGGAAACATTGAACTCATTGTTCACTTTATTGGAAACATTGAATTCAGCGTTGTCTAAAACAGGAAACAGTCTAATCATCGTGCACTCTTAAAATTTTCACAAATCTCAATGTTTTAGACAACCTTGAGTCGGAAAAATTTAATTTTGCAATCTTGTCTGTATGTCTGTGTGTGTGTGTGTGTTTGTAAGTGTGTGTGTGAACACGATAACTTGAATATCGTTACAGCTAGGTTAATGAAATTTCATATGTAAGTATAACATCAATTTTGTAGTTCTGTATCATCTTTTCAGCAATTTCCGGTAACCGGAAATATAATTTATTCTACTTTCGATTTTTCAATAGCCTATAACTTGAGTTTCCTTTCTGATAGATAGACGAAATTTCACTTTAAGTAAAAGATCTAATTTTCTGTTTTCTGTCCAATTTCGAGCAATTTCCGGTGGACGGAAGTAGTACTTACGCTATTTCCGATTTCTCAAAAAAAAAACGCATTTGAATTTATAAAGTACTAAAGTTCAGCACTATTATACAAGCATTGTTTGCTGTTCACTTGGTTCGCATCATCTAAGATGACACACATGATGACTTATACAATGACAGACAACATGACAGACAAGATGACAGACATTAAGACAGACACAATGACAGAAGTGATGACAGACGTGATGTCACACAAGGAAAAAGACACACACAACTCACCGTCAAGGCACAGCTCCCCCATGAACCCGGCCACGCATGAATGACTGCAGATACCTGAGACCTGATCACATGACCTGTCGCCCCCACAGTTCACGCAGGCTTGACACAATTTCGAGAAGAAAGAGATTAATTTTCACCCATTACCAGAGTTTCTTCCAGGCATCTCTTCAGCGGTGCAGAGCCCCCCCCCCCCCCCCCCTGAAGAAAGTCTACCGCCCCCCCCCCCCAAACGAAATGGAATTTATATAGAAAATATATACATTTAACAGTTTCCGGCAGAGCCCCCCCCCCCCGAAGATAGCCCACCGCCCCCCCCCCCCCCCGAAAATTTCAAGTAACTCCCCCAAAAAAAAGTCTGAAAGAAACACTGCCCACTACCCAGTACCACATCACAGAGTAAAAAACAGCAGCGCAACAAGCAAACTCGGTACCACAGTACAGAGAATATAAACTGAGTAACACATTGGAGCAGCGGTTCTCAACCTAGGTTCGGTCGAACCACAGGGGCTCGCAGAGACGTAACAATCCGTTTCGGCTCTATCCGTTTTGCGCTCTCTCCTTATATTTAGTTATTCAAGTTGGCGGAAAAGCGCCCCCCTAATAGGGCTGGTAAGTAGGTCACCAACCAGTTCTACGGCTCAATAAAACTTGCATGAGCCATAGAACTGGTTGGTGACCTACTTACCAGCCCTATTCTATTTGGAAAGGCTGTTTGCGCATTTTACCAGTCTCTTTCCAGTAATAGTTTTTATTTTGCCGTCTCACAATCGATGTAGAAAATAGATAAAGAGAGCAGTATGTTTAGCCAAGTAGCAATCTATTTTTAAACTTAGAAATGTTTATAATTCAGTGATGCAGAATGAATGAGCTTTTTTTGTTTTTGAAAAAAAATTCTACCCCCCTTTGGCGCCTACTTAGGTTCGGCGCCCGGGGCGGCCGCCCCACCCGCCCTCCCAAAGCTACGCATATGTGGGATCGGTAAGTCAGTTTAGGGGTTCGGCGGAGGTCAAAACACACACAAGATAGTTTCGGTGAATGCTCGTATGAATGTTGTAGGGTTCAAAAAGGTTAAGAACCACTGCATTGGAGAGGGATACAAACTTAGTAACACATTGGAGAATAATTCACAAACAGAACATATCAACACATCAGAGTGTCATTTGCAACAGTGTGTGTTTGGGTGTGTAAGTTTGTGTGTCTGTGCTAGTGAGCATGTGTGTGTACTTAACTACAAAACAACTGCCAGCCAAATATGATTTGCAACACTGTGTGCTTGGGTGTGTGCAAATGTATGTGTAAATGCGTGTGTAAATGCGTGTGTAAATGAGAGTGTAAATGCGTGTGTAAATGCGTGTGTAAATGCGTGTGTTAAAGCGTGTGCAAGTGAGTGTGTAAATGCGTGTGTAAATGCTTGTGTAAATGCGTGTGTAAATGCGTGTGTAAGTGCGTGTGTAAGTGCGTGTGTAAATGCGTATGTACATGCGTGTGTAAATGCGTATGTACATGCGTGTGTAAATGCGTGTGTTAATGCGTGTGTATGCGCGAGTGAGCATGTAGGCTACTCAACTACAAACCAACGTCCAGCCAATAGCTCTCACCTTGTGTGCAGTCCTCCCCTGTAAACCCTGCCACGCAACCTTCGTCACACAAGCCGCTGACCCTGTTGACCCTGTTCTCAGAGCAGTGGTTGGGGTCCTGCTGGGCCTGGATGTTCATGTCCATTATGGTGTCTGGGGTCAAGGTTAAAACATGGAGGTTAGGGTCAAGGTTAGAGCTGGAGGTTAAGGCAAGGGTTAGAAATGAAGGTTAGGGCCAAAGTTTGAAATAGAGGTTAAGGTTAAGGTTAGAAATGGACGTTAGGTTCAGGGTTAGAAATGGAGGGTTAGGTAAGGGTTAGAAATGTAAGTTAGGGTCGGGGTTAGAAATGGAGGTTTAGGTAAGGGTTAGATATGTAAGTTAGGGCCGGGGTTAGAAATGGAGGTTTATGTAAGGGTTAGAAATGGATGTTAGGGTCAGGGTTAGAAATGGAGGTTTAGGTAAGGGTTAGATATGTAAGTTAGGGCCGGGGTTAGAAATGGAGGTTAGGGTCGGGGTTAGAAATGGAAATTAAGATCAAGGTCAGAAATGGTGGTTAGGGTCAGGGTTTGAAATAGTGGTTAGGGTCAGGGTCAGAAATGGTGGTTAGGGTCAGGGTTTGAAATAGTGGTTAGGGTCAGGGTAAGAAATGGTGGTTAGGGTCAGGGTTTGAAATAGTGGTTAGGGTCGGTGTTAGGAATGGAGTTTAGTATAAGATTTAGAAATGGAGTGGATTGACCCTATGAACAGAATGAATCAATGATTAGCTATATATTATAGCCTACATGTATAGCCACTTAATGAAACAATTTTGTTTTTGAATTATACCATTTGTCTTATATAAATATAATACATTTTTGCAGCTATGTTACACAGTTGAACATAATTTTATAGCCGGTCCTAATTCTCTTTTGATATCGTCAGCTAGTACTGGTGTTAGACTGTGGGTTAAATGTCAATTTTTAGACATTTTGGGTTTGCTTTAGACAACTTCAGTCAACTGCTGAAGGTTGAACAAGTGCTTAACATTGAACACAAGTAGCATGTTTCGAAAATCATACATGAGCCTGGAAGACAATACAAACAACCTGAAGATCAAAACAGATACCTTGAAGATCATACAAGTACCATGAAAATGACACTTCAAAGTTAACAAAAATACACATTTTGACTTCTTTTGTAAATATTGCAAGTATATTTCGTTTAGGAAATATCCCCACAGCCTAAAATTGTAAGATGGTATGCGATACATGCTGTTACACCGGGGTCCACCAAAGCCATCCCAATATCCTACAAGACGATACCTACAGTTACACCGGGGTCCACCAAAAACATCCCAGCATCCTACAAGACGATACCTACAGTTACACCGGGGTCCACCACAACAATCCCAACATCCTACAAGATGGTATGCGATACCTACAGTTACACCGGGGTCCTCCAAAACCGTCCCAACATCCTACAAGACGATACCTACAGTTACACCAGGGTCCACCAAAGCCATCCCAACATCCTACAAGATGGTATACGATACCTACAGTTACATCGGGGTCCACCAAAACCATCCCAACATCCTACAAGACGATACCTACAGTTACACCAGGGTCCACCAAAACCATCCCAACATCCATTGAGGCACCGTCCAGTTCGTCGGTCACACGAGCCGTCTCCAGCACAGTAGCCACACTCTGCAGAGGAAAGAATACGTCCATGGTCGATTCGGTCAATTGAGAGTTCGACGAATGGGTCATTTCGGCGAGTTGGTATTTCGGCGAATAGGTATTTCGGCGAATTGATCATTTCGGCGAATTGGTATTTCGGCGAATAGGTATTTAAGCGAATTGATCATTTCGGCGAATTGGTATTTCGGCGAATAGGTATTTCAGCGAATTGATCATTTCGGCGAGTTGGTCATTTCGGTGAATTGGTATTTCAGCGAATTGATCATTTCGGCGAATTGGTATTTCAGCGAATTGATCATTTCGGCGAATAGGTATTTCAGCGAATTGATCATTTCGGCGAATTGGTATTTCAGCGAATTGATCATTTCGGCGAATTAGTCATTTCAGCGAATTGATCAGTTTGGTGAATTGGTCAGTTCTGCGAATCGGTCAGTGTTGATTTCACTTCTTTAAAACTGGTTCCATGAATACATGTTAGACAGATGGACACTCTACTTTACCTCCGGTGCAGTCAAGTTTCCAGAACTTCACCTTGCAGCCGTGCAAACATTCTCGGTTGTCGACGAAGAAGATTCCTGCGACACAGTTGTTCTTTTCTTTGGTGGATGTTGGTGTGGGGGTGGGTGTGGGGGCAGGTGTGGGGACAGGTGTGGGGGCAGGTGTGGGGACAGGTGTGGGGACAGGTGTGGGGGCAGGTGTGGGGACAGGTGTGGGTACAGGTCTTGTGGTTGTTGCATTCGACTGTAGTGGGGCTAAAGTGGAGCATGGACGAATGACAAAAATAATAACCATCACAAATAACAAAGCAATAAAAAAAGTTAATACACGTTTTCCAAGTAATATTTAACACCACTTTTATAGACACACGAGAGTTGATGCCCCTGGTACAGACACACCAGAGTTAAGCCCCTTGTTATAGACACACCAGAGTTAAGCCCCTTGTTATAGACACACCAGAGTTAAGCCCCTTGTTATAGACACACAAAGCTTGCGCTCCTATACCGAGCCAGAGTTTCTTCCAGGCATCTTTTCGGGGGATGGGGGAGGTGGGGCAGAGCCGAAACAGTCTACCGCCCCCCCCCCTGAACGGAATTTATATAGAAAATATATACTTTTAACCGTGTCCGCCCCCCCCCCCCCCCGGAAATTTTAGTCCGCCCCACCGAAAATGTTAAGTGACCCCCCCTCCCCCCAGAAAAACAAATCTGGAAGAAGCACTGTACACAGCAACACTGTTGTAGCCATAAAGAAGAGTTGTGCCCCCTGTCTTAGAGTCACATAAAAGTTCACCCCTGACCCAGCTATGTTACCCTGTCACAGTCGTAAAAAAAGAGTTGTTGCCCATGTGCTACTAAAAATAAGAGAACTGTTACAGTGCATTTTTTAATGACTAAAATATTGTTAAAAGTTACATAGACTTTAAAAAAAATCTTTTTATTGAATTCCTTAATCAACTTACCAGCGACGACAGTTTGTACAACTAGCAACACAGAAATAAAGTGACCATAGTCCACAACCATTATGATCGAATGCTAAGACAGAAAAAGGTCATATCAACTCGATTGCTGACCATTGATGTCTAACTCTAGGAACTATTTGATAAATATAAACAGTTCAACACAGACACTACTAGGTTAGCGTTGAACACAGACACTACTAGGTTAGAGTTGAACACAGACACTACTAGATTAGTGTTGAATACAGACACTACTAGGTTGGTGTAAAGTAGATGTCAAGTATATACACCGAATGCATATCTAGAGATCAAGTTATAAAGTGTAGATCTAAATCTAGATCTAGTTTCCATTCTACTAAACCTGGATAGAAAAATAAAAAATCAAGTGAAGCAGCAACACTGACATGAATACACAATTGAATGCGGACTGTGTGAATTTGGTTCAGTATATTCTCCAGCTTAATTAAGTTAAAACATTGTTTTAAAAACTTAGTAAATTTATCTTTAAAAAAATGTAAAAAATAATCTTTTACCTTTGAAGGTAGACTGTGTTTTCAATATGTAAACAAACATTGTTTCTTCTCTGATTGTAGCTTTCGACTGCTGCACTAGTTTGCACCAACGGGAATTTCCCGTGATTATTATTAATTATAATTTTATTAGTAAACAGGTCTCACCTGGAATCTACAGGGCAGGAGGAGGAGAGGCAGATCAAGAAAGACCTGGAGACGTGACCTGGAAGAAGACAGCAAGAAGATTGGATACACCTGGGGACTGTTGGAGAGACTAGCCCAGGACAGAGGCGCCTGGAAAGCTCTTGTCAGCGGCCTATGTCCCAGGAGGGGCGACAGGCAAACCTAACCTAAACGGGTCCCTGTGTGGGGTGGGAAAAAATTATCAGTCTTCCCACCCTCACCCCATTCATAACCAGGCTATGTAGTATATTTCAATCTCTACAATATGGGCTAATTTTTTAGTATTGTTGGAAAGACACTGAGATTCAGGAATTTCCTCATGGGGGGGGGGGGGGGGGGGGTTTGAAGAGTAAGTCCGCCACCCAAACAGAGAAAAATGTATATTTATATATACAATAAATACTTAAGTCAATGTCCACCATCCCCCAGCCGATTCCCAGAAGTTACAAGAGCTCCTAACTCCCCCCCCCCCCCCCGCAGTGTTTCTTCCAGACTTTTTTCTCCGGCGGGGGGGGGGGGGGGGGGTAGTACTTGAAATTTTCGGGGGGTGGGGGCGGTAGACTTTCTTCGGGGGGGGGGAGGGCGGACACTGTTAAAAGTATATATTTTCTATATAAATTATAAAAATTTCATTTCGTTCGGGGGGAGCGGTAGAATTTTCTCTCGGTGGGGGGGGGGGGGGCTTTGCCTCCCCGAAGAGATGCCTGGAAGAAACCTCCCCCCCCCCCTGGTTTAAACTGGGTTCACATCGTTATTAGTATTAGCAGCCCCCCTCCCCCACACCCACATACAAGCACACTTTTAGTTAAAGACTGTCTGGTTTTCTTGACGTTTGTAGGTGGTGGGAGGGAGTCAGTCTGTCAGAACAGCTGGTTATTTGAAAAGTTTTACTCTAATCAACCTAAAACTCGATGCAAGTAACTAAATTCAGAACCCTGGCAGCGCTGCTAGAAGCGGTGTCCGATATTTATTTGTTCTGTTCATTTATACTGCACGAATACCATCACACAGATGAACCTCGAGCATTTCAAACAACGATTGGAAAACGTTAATTTTTTTTTATCGTATTAGGATTGTAAATATTTGAGCCCTATTATTGTGATTTAAGAACTACATGTCGCTACATTTGTAATAGCTGAATTCTTGAAATAAAACAACGTCCTAACATTAAGGCTACACTTCAACCGAAAACAAAGCAAAAAAAAAAAAAACAATGAAATTTGAAGTTTGTAAAATGTACATTTATTTTAATAATGTATTAATCCTGAAATTATGATGGAGCTGGATAAAGCATACCTTTAAAAACAATGCTTTTTTTTTTAAATACTTATTTTAATAGCACATTAGGAGAAATTTTACATTAACAATTTGTATAGGAATAATACTTTACATCAATGATATGGTACAAAATAATTCAATGTGTGAAAGTTTAAAAAAAATGTATACAAAAATTATAACTGTGTTCTTTAATCAGATCATTTGACTGGGTCCATGTCACATGAATGTTCAAACTAATTAGTCTGAAGCATATGCATGATTATAAAAATACTCATTGCAAAAAATACATTGAAAACTTAATAGAAATTTTTATGTATTTATTTATCGTATAATAAACCCTTAACCTAGCCACTGGCCATTACGGAATAGAAGTAGTTTTTAATTTACCTTTCTCTACTTGTAAATTAAAAAAATGTTTTATTATGAATAAAATTAGCGATCAGCGTTGAAAATACAGTAAATAGTTTTTCTTTAAATAAATGACATCAATTTTTGTCTTACAGTTTAAAACACATAGATCTATTTAGGTCGTGAAGAAATAATATAAATATTGTCTTTTAATCTACGAAGACAAGTTTCTCACCATTCTTTAACTTGTAGAATGTCGTTAATCCAAACATCGAATTCCATGATCCCATTTCACTGGTAGGATTCCTTTAATCCAAGACGACAAACTCCTCCCCTTTCTTCACCTTGTGTGACGCCCCATCCTTTAATCCAAGACGACAAACTCCTCCCCTTTCTTCACCTTGTATGACGCCCCATCCTTTAATCCAAAACGACAAACTCCTCCCCTTTCTTCAACCTGTATGACGCCCCATCCTTTAATCCAAGACGACAAACTCCTCCCCTTTCTTCACCTTGTATGACGTCCCATCCTTTAATCCAAGACGACAAACTCCTCCCCTTTCTTCACCTTGTATGACGCCCCATCCTTTAATCCAAGACGACAAACCCCTCCCCGTTATTCACCTTGTATGACGCCCCATCCTTTAATTCAAGACGACAAACTCCTCCCCTTTCTTCACCTTGTATGACGCCCCATCCTTTAATCCAAGACGACAAACTCCTCCCCTTTCTTCACCTTGTATGACGCCCCATCCTTTAATCCAAGACGACAAACCCCTCCCCTTTATTCACCTTGTATGACGCCCCATCCTTTAATCCAAGACGACAAACTCCTCCCCTTTCTTCACCTTGTATGACGC